TAACTCACACATGCTAACGCGACCTAACCCATATAAGCTAAACAGATGATGAAGAGGACACCTTCTTCGTCGGACTATCAACAACCAGCCCTGAAGACATGTGAAACATATGACGACATCGCAATATAGCTTTTTTTAATGTACTTAAACTGGGGATGTTTGCTCGTGGTTAGCTTACCAAGCTAGTGTGACCAGGAACAAGGGGACGCAAATAAAATGGAGAGATTTACAATATCATTATTTTACTTTATGTGACTTGGTTTATGATAAGTTCAGATGCAATCGTTTTGGCAATAGAGATGTACTTTTGTTTGAATTAAGCACACTGAAGGGAGACATGTCAGCATGATTTTATATGCAGGTGAACTAGAAGCTAACGTTAGTTAAGCATCTTATGTCATTACTGGATGAGTTGAGGACAGGGTTGACGCAAACATGCTCCTTCATAACCATACATGTATCCTGTTGACGTATCAACACTGTCTTTTCATTCACTTTGGTTTAAAGGCCAACTGGTGGCTTTTTCACGTTTCGTGTTGCCAACGGCGGGGCAAAGTTTCCGAGAACGGTGTAAAAAAAATCTCTTTTGTTATAACGGGTATTCCAGGGCGATCTGAGCCCAGGGGGTGACCTGAAAACACTTACCTGGATGACCTCGTTGACCTCCCTTATACACTCCACCATATGCTGCAGGATCTGTTCGGCAGTAAGAACTTCAAAGCGGTAATCTTCCTCATCCTGCCCGGGCCCGAGGCCGCTTCCCCCGGTCTCCCCGCAGTCGTCTCGCTCTCCGCCGGCCACCACGGGATCAACCAACTCCACCTCGCCGAGCTCCAGGGTGTCGTCCGCGGTCTCATCTTCGCCGCTGTCTTCGCTGCATTCCTCTTCCTCGTCGTCGAATTCGTAATTGTAACCCTCGTCTGAGTCCATGACTGGGTTGCTTTTAATGTAGCGACACGCCAAGTGAGATAAGTTCGATATGTATTATTTGGCAGACAGAGCAAAACAAAACGAGAATACTTCTTTAGCTGCTAGCATTCCAGTTTTTCCAGCAGCAAAGAAAACAACAACAGAGGAGCGACGCTGCTGCTGGCCCAACAAAGAGACGCAGCGTCACGGGCCGACGCCGAGTGACGTCATGTGCGTGACACAAAACAAGGAAAGTTGTTAGGCAGCTGCATTAAAATGTTGATTTGCGATCAAATAATGAATTTGAAACTACACCAAAATATAAAACACAGTTTGAAGAACTAAAATAAGTCTTTTTGTATATTTTAGATCGTTTACAGAAACAGTTCTTCATTTGTTTTGTTTTTTTTACCTTTGTTTCTATTAAATATTGTTCCAGAAGAAATTTAAATATACATTCTATATACTTCCCAATTGGGATGTGTGGTACGGATTAGTGTATCTAATGTGGTATTTTATTTTAAAGATGACATTTTGCATTGAAAATAAACATATGGTACAACTAATAATTATATTCGGTAAACTTCATATTCATACGAAATGTTCCAAATTCAGTACATTTTAGAAATGTGAATCTCGTAATTGCATTGCAGGGTGGCTTTGTATAAAGTGTTGTTGTGGAATTGCATTGTCTCCTTTGTATTACTTGTTTTGTTGTCCTGTACGTTTTTACATTTACATTTATTTATTTTTTTAAATAATGGATCGATATGGATAGATTTTTGTTCAGTGTTTCGAAATAATACAAAATGGCTATATTTTATGATGCCGATTATATATCATGATAGCATAGATAAATAAGCATGATTCCCTGTCCCTCCACAATAAAGTAGGTCATTATTAAAATTATTTGACCTATTTTCTGAGTGGTGCCTCTTGGTATGATCTTATCAATTTCGTTCAACTGTCAGCTTATCACCTGACTTACCAAAAGTTTAATAATTAGAAAAGGCCAAATGAACCGCAACATCTAAAAGCCTGTGTAATGGTCCGGAAATAGCATACCTTATTTTTCTGGTGTTGGGTTGTCCTGTGACTCAACGAGGCGGAACTAAATGAAAGGAAAGTTGTTTCTACCGGAAACATTTCGAACAAGTACGCGTTCTCCCGTTGCCGTGGCAGCAGCGACTTCAGGAAGAACGTTAGGGCGATTTATGATGGATCCTCAAGAGACAGGTGATTAATTGTTTTAAAATATTCATAAACGTGCGAATTGAAAATAATCGACTGTATCTCCCGTTTGATTGTGCACTGGCGTCTTTAAAGCTGCAGTGCGTCCGCCATGCACCTGTTCTACAACCAGCTAGCTTACTGAAATCTGTCAGACTAACGTTAGTTTCATGATTGCCATCATATCTGTCGCGACTGTTCGCCGGATATTTAAAATTCTAGCTGTGGTTTTTGTAACGTTATTTACACTTCTTTATCTCAACTTTCTTTGAAACCCAAAAGATCTGCTGAGTGGCATCGAGAACATAGTTGACATGCAGAATTTGGAAGAAGAGGACTTTGCTGTTTCAAAGTGAGTTATAAAGATTGTTTTCTGTGAAAATGCAAGTAGCTTTATCAAATTTACACATCCATAATATTTTGTCCCTTCAGATCATCAGATGCTGATGCAGAATTTGACATGGTAATTGGGAACATCGAGGACATAATTATGGGTATTCATCTATTATTTTATTAAATCACTTATGACCATAACTTTAAATCATGAATATAATCTAGTAGAATTCATCTTTAACAAGGGTGATTCTTATTACATATCTGTCAAAAACATGTCCCAGTCAATTTATGTGGAAAATATGCTTAATATAATTTGTTTTAATGTCATTTATTTGTATTATTATGGGTTTGGGTGAAATATGACCTAGTTATCATGAAATTCACCAAGTTGTAACTAACACATTTTCTCCACAGAGGATGAATTCCAATATCTTCAGCAGTCTTTCATGGAGAAATATTACCTTGAGTTTGATGAGTCTGAGGAGAATAAGCTCAGCTATACACCTATATTTAATGAATATGTACGTGATACTTTGAGTTTTTATATCACACATTTGTGACCCTTGTTGAGATGGAAATACTAAACTGTCATTTATGATTTTTTTGCGATTTCAGATTGAAATTCTAGAAAAGCATCTAGAACAGCAGTTGGTAGAGCGAATTCCTGGATTCAACATGGATTCCTTCACCCATTCACTTAAGTATGGCGAATTCACCAGCTGTTCTAAACCTGAGTATAATCCTCAGGCTTACAAGAGCAACCCAGTCTAAGTCAGATGGGGGTTTCAGTCTTTTAGATGCCATGTGCCCCTAAATATGATCATGTAATGTGAGGGACCCCCATCCTAAAATTTAGAAGGCAGCTATATATTTTCAAGTATAAAGACCCAGTTTGTACTATAAAAAATTATATTACACATATGTATAAAATAATATTTGGAAAAAATATTTAGCTTCTATTACTTTACATCATTACTTTTTCCTTTTCACAATAGTACTGGACAGATAGATGTATTATTTATTAAAAAAAAAAAATTATTCTTTATAAAAAAAAAAAATCCATTATTATTTATTTATTTTGTTTTATCTTATTTTTATATATATACACTGTTTTTGCGGCCCCCTGGACCCCAGTTTAAAAAACCCTGGTTTAAAATGTGTTATTGTTATACACATAATTTACCACTAGATGGAGGTGTTTACATTGAAAATTATTCCTTAATGGTGACTTTTATCTGTTGATTTGTAATCCTCTTTTTTCCCCAATTAGACAGCACAAAGATGAAGTGTCAGGTGACATACTTGACATGCTGCTCACTTTCACTGACTTTATGGCCTTTAAAGAGATGTTCATTGATTACAGAGCAGTAAGTAAAAAAAATCTGTTCTTTTCTTTAAACTTCAAAATATAGGATTTATAATGTTTATTCAGATTCTTCTACAGTTAAGAGAAAAGCTGTTCTGCTTAGTTCACTTTGGCCTACTTTTCTACTACCATGAACAAAACCTATAAATGTGCCAGTAGTCTGTGGCAGAAACTCATTTTCCCAATCTTCTTGTTATAGGAAAAGGAGGGTAGAGGATTGGACCTTAGTACTGGACTGGTAGTGAAGTCATTAAATTCTGCTTCAGCTTCACCTCTGACCTCCAGCATGGCCTCACAATCGAGCTGAACCATTGAAAATGGGGATTTCATGTAGATGAACAATTATTTCTCCCCTTTAAAAAGATGAATATACATCGAAACTTCCTTTCCGACTCATCCCAAAACAAACATTGTTAATACTAAACTGACAGACGACAATCTTTGTTTAATTTAGGTTCACGTTTAAACGTAAGATTCAGGTTAACCGTCAGCTCATTCAATGAGACTCTTCTAACAGTATTCTCATGATCTGACACTAAATCACTAAATCCACTCAGTCTGGATTAGTTCTTCATATCTTGTTTTGGCCTACAGTGCAGCAAAACACTATTTCCGTTTCTGACCAAGTTGATGTAGAAAGTTGTAGAAAGTTTTAATGAGCCTCAACATCTCAAAGCTGCCATTGCATACTTTCACGCAAGAACCCCTCCATTTTATATATCATTAGATACCAAAATAATTCCTTTCACTTGACAATCAAAAAGGGCTTTTCATTAAAAAAGTATTATACAATGTGCCTGATATGACAACAGTTCTGAAAACCCCTTTTTAACATGCACAAGGCTTGAAGTTTCCCCAGGTGAAATATTACATTGTTAAAAAAATATATGTTTATACAAGAAACAATGCAAATAATCTCATAGTTTTTCCATGCTTTTTAATGTGATTTTGAGTCCATGTTTTGGATTTCTCTCATACATTGTGAAAGTGAGCTTTTTAAAATAATAAGTTTTGTTGATGTATACAGTGCAAATTTCAGCTTTTTTGCTCCCTTGTTTACATAGAATGTGTTGTTCCTACTAGATGAATGTTGCGTAATTGTGTACATTTGTTTATTATTTGTATATATAGAAATATTTGAGCCTGTGTATGGAAGAAATAAATAAAAAATTTCTTTAATCGTATTTTATCAAAACATTTTTATTCTCAAAACAATGAATCAATTTCGTTCTCAAGCATAACTGTACAATATTGCAAGAACCTTGTCCATGTTACAAACCATCTAGCAATTATGCTGGGCACCGTTATTCTGAAGGGTTGTCCGACGTTCCTGAAGAGGATTTTCAGCAATACCAAATCATCTGAGTATTATCCTCTTGTAAGTGTCCTCACATGGAGTATGACAGTGTTAATCAGAGGGTGGTCTACACAGGCACTGTACTCCCCGCTGCGTTTTGCCCTTCACCCCTCCAGCCCAAATAGGCAAAGTAGCTGCTTGCTGCATATAACAGGGTCACCACTATGGCAAAGAACTGCAAGAAGAAATATATGAATAAAAATGATGAAGATCTTACAAATTTTACTCAAGTATAATATGGATGTAGTTCACAAAAGAATATATTTTAAAAAAAAGTTAATAGGGTCCAATGTTTTGGACCCGAATGACCTTTATTGTATTGTAATATTTTTTTCCCCAGGATGGTAAGGGAAGGTACCGCTTTTTTCGCCTCTGATTGGCTAGAAGGGCTCTCCTCCGATTGGTTATTTGATGTGGCCGTGAAACGTCATCTCTTCAGATGAGAACTGAGAAGTTATACATATACACACACACACTACACACATACAACCTCTAAACCTACCCATCACACACACTAACCCGAGCCCTAAACCTACACACACACACACACACACACACACACACTAACCCGAGCCCTAAACCTACCCATCACACACACACACACTAACCCAAATCAAATAACCAATCGGAGGAGAGCCCTTCAAGCCAATCAGAGGCAAAAAAGGCGGTACCTTCCCCCACCATCCTGGGAGAAAAAATATCGCTCCTGGGGGCGGGTTTATGTACATTTTAGGGTTGGTGATGTCACTAACCCGGGAGGAATGTCGTGTAGTCCCTACCAGCCGTTTGTTGTACCGTATTTTCCGCACTATACGGCGCACCGGATTATAAGGCGCACCTTCAATGAATGACCTATTTTAGAACCTTTTTCATATATAGGGCGCACCGGATTATAAGGCGCATAAGATACTGCAGTCCAACGTTTGACTGGGTTTGCGTTATGCATCCACTAGATGTCAAAAAATGTCAACAAAACAGTCCGATAAAGTCAAACTTCATTAAGCGTTCTGACAACTCCGTTCACTCCCATGGTAACGTTGTTCAAACGTTAAAGGAAAACTCCGGTCAATTTTAACATTGAGCTCATTTTTTGTAAATTGGGAGTGCTGTCAGTACAGATAACAACGACAAAAACCGGTGTTGCCTACACCGTGTTATCCTCTTTTAAAAATTTGCACCCTGTTGACTTAAACGGGACAAGTTTTAAACCGGCTTTTAGCCTCTTAACAACCTTAATGTGTCATTACAAGTGCACAGCCATGTGAGTGAACACGGTGAATCTGACTGCAGTAAATGTGAAAGATATGAATAAAAATGATGTTTATTCAGCCAGCTCACATACCCGTATTTTCTTCCTGTTTTCGGTCGAAGTCCACAGTAGGTGATTGTCGAGTGGGCGCGCGCGATCATTGGTAACTAAGCAACAGTGGAGACTCAGACTGTCAGCTGTCAGCCGATGACGGTGCTGTGTGGTGTTCTGAGAATATCAGCTCAAATGCATAGTTCATCCGAATCAGATGTTGAACACACGGAGGAGGTTTGATCGCGCTCGCGCGAACTCGACAATCAACTACTGTGGACTTCGGCCGAAAACAGGAAGTAAATACGGGTATGTGAAGCCGGCTGAATAAAGAGATTATTGCTGCCTTCGTGAAAGCTCGGATCACAGATGAGACTGATATATCAGCCCAGGCATCCACGATCCATTGGCAGATAGTGGCGTAAGTCGCTCGGCGCTGTCTCCCCGTCTTGGTGAACGTGTGTTCACCATCCATATATAAGGCGCTCCGGATTATAAGGCGCACTGTCGGTTTTTGAGAAAATTAAAGGCTTTTAAGTGCGCCTTATAGTGCGGAAAATACGGTAGTCTTTTTCTTTAAAAGCAAATATCTTCCTTCCCAGTCACACTAACTAAAGTTAGAAAAGTGAAATCATACTTAACCACCTCTTTAAGCTGTTAACCTTTACACATGGAGGAGGTATAAATTGTGATTACACTCCTCCACTGTAGAGCAGAGTGGGGTTGTCATGTGCTTGCTGCACATTTTAATCTAGACTCTGGCCCATGTGGTTTTTAAAGCCCAATAAAACTCTATTATACTATACCAAAATACTACTCTACAGAACCTTGCTTTTGAACTCATCTGACAGTTTCACATTTTTACCATCTCCTAAAAGCCTTTTAATTGATCTATAATACTGTATTGAGTAATGAAACATGCTTTATACAGTTAAATTGAAGGCCTTGCTTCAGATTAGATGCTTTGGCATAGCAACTTATATTTTTTAATCAATATTTTCTAAGAAGGCTCTATCTACAGTCAACTGCCATTCAAACATTTATTTATAAGATTTCTTAATGTTTTTGAAAGAAGTCTCTCAGGCTCACCAAGGCTGCATTTATTTGATCAAAAATATTATAAAACATTGTTACAATTCTTTTTTTTAAATAAATGTTTTTATTTTAATATATTTTAAAATTTGGAAATTATTCATGTGATAGCAAAGCTGAATTTTCAGCATCATTACTCCAGTCTTCAGAGTCACATGATCCTTCAGAAATCATTCTAATATGCTGATTTGCTGCTCAAGAAACATTTCTTATTATCAGTGGTGAAAACAGTTGTGCCGTTTAATTTTTTTTGTGGAAACCAGAATAATTTTTTTTCATGATTCTTTGATAATTCATTTCTTTAAATAATAATAATAATAAAAAACTCGTACTAACCCATACTTTTAAACGGTAGTAATTTGTTAGGTCTTGACATCTGAATCACCTGACCTGTTATCAGTGGGTGCTTCACAGATACACCTTACTTTACTTAAGAAATGAGGTATGAAGTGTACAGTCAGACACACCTCTTTCAGCTCATTGTGTGTGAACGTGTGGAGTGTGAGTTCAAGAGATGTTTTCACTCACTGCAGAAGTTCCCAGATGACCATGGTAAAACCCATTTGGAACGGATGCAGCATTAGCCAAAAAGGCAGTTAGGTATAGAACAGCTGCGACTGAGTAAAACACCATGAGCTACAAGGAAGAAAGGGAGACATGATTACAAACTTGATTTGATCAACAAAGTCTTGATTCAAATATGCTATCTCCTCCATGAGACGAGAGAGAGTCTCACCACCAAAGGCCAGGGTATTGAGGGTAGACTCTGATGAAACCTCAGCGATAGCACAACCAACAGGGCGATGCTCAAAAGCCACAGAGACACGCTGACAAGCATGACCCAGACATAAGCAGATGCAGAGGAGTATGGAGTACTGGCGATCAGCGACCAAACCAGTAATCCAACAACCTGAACAGAGGATGATCATATGTTAAACATCAAGGAAAAATACGGTCACTTTTTTAAATTTTTTATTGTCCATACAACAAAGTCAGTGGAGTCTAAAAACAGCATTGGACCCTATTGACTTTCTTCGTATGAAAACTTTTTCCAAATGATCTTCTTTTGTGTTTCACAGAAGAAAGAAAGCCATACATGTTTCAAAAAGGACATAAGGGTGACTAAATGATTGCAGAATTTTCATTTTGGGGGAAATTAATCCTTTAAGTCAAGAAAACCTTTAGTTATCATTTTTAGAGTATTTTCACTAAGGCTTTTCTAAACGTAAAGGTATTGTAATTAATGTTGATGACATACTATATATGCTCTGAAACACATGACCTTTAAAATGAAAGTGACGTGAGTGTGAATCATCCTGGTGATGGTCATTAGATATCTTATATTATATGATATTATCTCATATTTAGAATTGGAAGTATTGATGTATGTCCTCAGGAATGTTTTCACAATCAGTTATACATTTAAAAAAGAAATACAAGTACAGAAATATATATTTTTTTATATGAACAGATGGTGTCAATGACATTCATTTGTACAATGAATATCAAAAGTTCATGATGTATTATTCATCCGATAAAAGTCTCAGATTTCAGGCTGTGTCTAACACAAGATACCAACAAACAACAACTGTGACTTGCTCCACAGAATAAAGACTAAAAACAGACATCTCAGGTCAAATATTCACTAAAGCTTAATATTATTGCATTTATATTTACTGATTCAACAATGATTACATAAGTTATGTATTTGTTTTGAGGGAAGCATTTTATTAGGGTTATTGATCCAATAATTGATGATACGATAGATAAGATGATTATTTTCTTAAATACTGATATTCAGAAATATTTATTGTACAATTTAATTAGTCATTTATGTTTGCTCATAGTCAGATAAATATTTTTCTGTATGCTTTGTCTTGATAGTGGCATGTCCATATGTACAGCTGAATCTAGTTTTAATGTTTCTAAATAACACAGCGACATAGATCAGTGAAAAACACCTAATACAAGTACCAAAATGTAAACATTACATCTACCTCTACGCAAACTCTGTGTAAGCATGCAGGACTGTGTGTGGTAATAAATCTAACACTGGCACAATATCCTAGTTGTATGAAACATTATGACCATAATCCATAGTACATGGGCCTGGTTAGTTTCTGTTTTATCAACCAACACTGACAACGTCTCAGTATTTCTCATACTGGAAACCCAGCATTATTTTTAAAGAATGAAGAAACAGCGTAGAAAAGTGGGTGTGAGTGTATGAAGGGAGAAATAAATAGTTTTGAAAAGCAAAAACAGAGTAAAAAACACTTCAATGTATGATAAAGCATGGAAAATGTAATTGACAGGTTTTCCAACTTACAATCTCAGCCAAAAGTAGAATACCAGGAATGCCCTTAATGAAGTTCATGTCAACACTCGATGGTATTCCATAACTTCTTTGAGGTTCTTGAGAGCTGGTCTGAGTGCTGACCTTACCAGGGAAATCTGCCATTTCTTCTCAGTATAAGAGTTGATTATAGGAAAATGTCACTTTAGAAAAAAAAAGAAAGCCTGAACCTGAGTGGAGACAGACCAGAACAGGTAATGCAGGTGTTGTCACTACCTAGCAACTTAGTTTTCTCTCTTTCACACCCGCCCGCCCGCTCTCTCTCTCTCTCTCTCTCTCTCTCTCTCTCTCTCTCTCTCTCTCTCTCTCTCTCTCTCTCTCTCTCTCTCTCTCTCTCTCTCTCTCTCTCTCTCTCTCTCTCTCTCTCTCTCTTTCCATACACCTTTGCACACCTAAAATGTATTTAATGTGATCATGCAAGTTAGGCGGATACATCTGTTTGACAAAGTAATAAATAACTTCAGTAAGCATAATAAAAGTGAGAACCCTCTCCCTTCCTCTTATAAAAAAGGAAACAGCAGGATAGCAAACAATAGAAGTTACAATTAAGGGTTAAAAACCTTAAATGGTCATAATCATTGACAGAAGAGGATATGTTGCATGTGCACAAGTATTACAAGTAAAACAAATTAACACAATTTTACACACACACGTATATATATACACACACACACATAATGTGTGTACAACACAGTATATATATGGTCATGGTGGTGGACTTTGAATGTGACTCAAAATGACTTTTGAAAGCTACTCAACAGCAATGCACACAAAATGCAAAATGAAACAAGCGGAGAAAACAAAACAAAAAAACAGTATAACTGTAAGTAATGGCTACTTTTAACACTCATAACATTCGTCATTCAAATATGAAACTGTTTATTATGTGTAATACTCTTTCCTATATACAAAATTCATTCACTCCTTGCTTTGAAACACTCACGTTATATACAACAATTAAAAAATAATTCTTTAACATATCGTCCACTAACCTGCAACAGTTATTTGCACTGTACTGTTCTCGTTGACTCAGGTCATTTTTAGCCACTTTTCTGCAGCGGACAGATGTAAAGCTTTGTCGTTTATTTTTGCTGGTATCTACTCTCTGTGAGGTATGAAACAGACTTTGGTCCCTGAAGAACCATCCAGTTAACCTTTTCACCACAAAAAAAAAAAAAGTTGTCAGAAGTGGGATTCGAACCCACGCCTCCAGAGGAGACTGCGACCTGAACGCAGCGCCTTAGACCGCTCGGCCATCCTGACACTCTGAACAGTGGGTACTTTTTGGCCCTCTAGTGGTGGTGACTTTATTTTTCTCATTTTTCTCTTGTTTCTTTAATGTAACGGTTAAAAACAGCCATACAATTTATATTATATCCAGCAATGTATATTATCTAGATTATCTACTACATTATAGTGTTAATGTTTTTGTTTTTTTTTGTCCTCTGACATAGGGTGGCCATTTCTATAACACCAAATTAGATTTCCCTCTAAATTGATTTCCAGGGGTATTTTTTACATGTATAAGGGCAAATTCTCTAACCATATTAAATGTAGGCCTATGCTTTTTTCAAGCTTTTTTATTCTCTTTCATGCAAATTCTTAATTTTATTGCAATTAGAATAATAAGACACTATAGGGCTGATACCAATCACATACATTTCAGTATCCACAAAATCCATCTTTGCAATGCAGAAACGGCACAGCAACTGAAGTGGCATTTGGATGCATTTACACTGCTATTACAATTGCAGGTGTCCTAGAATGTTTTTTTTTATTTTTTTTATAATGTTTCCTGGGTTGCCCTTATAATGTCAAAAATAGTCATAATTTAGAAATAAAAGGCATTTTTCCTAGTCTGATTTTAGCCTCTGATTTGAACACTCTGTTTGAAGGGGCGTGTCTGCTGTGTGTAACCAGCCTCTGCTGTGATTGGCTGACATGCTTGCATATGAAATAGCTATGTATTACATGTGAAACTCTCTCGAATAATTTTACTACAGCTATTATACGTTTTTACTATTACAGCTATCGAGATTAACGAATCATAAGATGTTTTTAAAGTATTTAGATCTATTCCCATCACATACAATGTTGCCGTGATGACTGAGCATTGAGCAAGCAGATGACAGTCTGTTGATCCGATCGCGAGAATGAAGATCTTATCATTGCAACGCAGTTTCTGCACTCTCTCTAATGCTTTCACCAATGCAAACACGATCATGTAAATACAGTAAGAGCTTCGTTGTGCAGTGTAACGTGCGTCATTGAATTCATAACGAGTTTGGCAAGTGTCCAGATAAACTTGCTCTGTGTAAAGATTGTTCTTTGTTCGCTTTCTGTATATAATTTATTCACAATTTAAATAAGTTTTTTTCATCCTACTAAAAGAAACGAAGTGAAGTTGATATTTTAGTCACTGGCTTGACTTACTGATGCATAAACAGTATTGAACGATTTTGAGAGAAAGATTACCTGTTTGAACTTGAACAATTACACATCAGAAAGTGTTGCTTGGTAGCTCGATCCGAGGCCAGCTCTGTATTGGCCCAAGTTGAGGAAACCGTCGTCGGTGAAATGTTTGGAAATTTCCAGAGAAAATAAAATTAACCCATTGTTTCTTCAGAGGCTCGGATGAAGGAACTAAAAAATAATTTTGTGTACATCCAAACACTGAGCAACTGCTATGCTTCGGCTGCGCAGTTCCGCCTGGCATTGAACATGGGCTGGCATTTGCAAATTCTTGGAGTCGTACATATTAATGATCCCGACTGTTGCGTCACAGTCGGTGTTATGTGGAGATTCGCCTATTTTTCAGGGGTGTTTTTCAAAAACGAGATTTAAGTAAGAAGGAGAAAACAATGGTGTCTGAGACTCACTGTGTGTCATGTCCATGTACTGAAATCTTGTTATTTAACTATGCCAAAATAAATTCAATTTCACATTCTAGGGCACCTTTAAATATATTGCTAACACTTTTTAGGGTTTTCATTTATTTTCACAAGTTAACTAAATGAGTTAATGAACAATACTGTTAATTTCAGCATTTACTAATACATTGCAAAGATGGATTTTGTGGATACTGAAATGTATGCGATTGGTATCAGCCCTATAGTGTCTTATTATTCTAATTGCAATAAAATTAAGAATTTGCATGAAAGAGAATAAAAATGCTTGAAAAAAGCATAGGCCTACATTTAATATGGTTAGAGAATTTGCCCTTATACATGTAAAAAATACCCCTGGAAATCAATTTAGAGAATCTAATTTGGTGTTATAGAAATGGCCACCCTATGTCAGAGGACACACAAAAAAAAACATTAACACTATAATGTAGTATATAATCTAGATAATATACATTGCTGGATATAATATAAATTGTATGGCTGTTTTTAACCGTTACATTAAAGAAACAAGAGAAAAATGAGAAAAATAAAGTCACCACCACTAGAGGGCCAAAAAGTACCCACTGTTCAGAGTGTCAGGATGGCCGAGCGGTCTAAGGCGCTGCGTTCAGGTCGCAGTCTCCTCTGGAGGCGTGGGTTCGAATCCCACTTCTGACAACTTTTTTTTTTTTTGTGGTGAAAAGGTTAACTGGATGGTTCTCCAGGGACCAAAGTCTGTTTCATACCTCACAGAGAGTAGATACCAGCAAAAATAAACGACAACAGCAAAGTTTTACATCTGTCCGCTGCAGAAAAGTGGCTAAAAATGACCTGAGTCAACGAGAACAGTACAGTGCAAATAACTGTTGCAGGTTAGTGGACGATATGTTAAAGAATTATTTTTTAATTGTTGTATATGTTTCAAAGCAAGGAGTGCAATGAACTTTGTATAGGAAAGAGTATTCTACATAATAAAAAGTTTCATATTTGAATGATGAATGTTATTAGTGTTAAAAGTAGCCATTACTTACAGTTATACAGTTTTTTCCCGCTTGTTTCTGTGTTGATAAAGTGATAAGATATGTTAAAGAATTCTTTTTTAACTGTTTACTCAAGACTGATTATCTAGAATCTGCCCTATTAGCTTAGCTCCTCCCTTCATTAAACTCAGTCTGCCGTTTTTATCTCCTTGCCAGAACATTTAACAGCAACATTCAAGTAAGAAATGTATTTATTGAAGCTAAAGTTATTCAATCAAAAGCAGTGAGTAAATTAAGTTTTTTCTTTTTTTTTATTCATATTAGCAGCATATACAACAGTAGGCACTGTATATTACGCTGCTGTCACTTTAATACACAGATCTAATATGTGTCACGTAATGCACACAAGAAAAGGTAAGATCCAAGCGCAGTTTATTAGGGTAATCCCAAGCGGCAACATTCTAATCTGAAAAATGAAGCCTACCCGGAAGTGCGAAAAACTGCAATACATCTAAAATCCGCTAGAGGCAGGTCCCAAAAGGGAGCAAATGTCCATAGAACCCATGTTAAAATGTCAGTTTTCACAGTATAAATTCATGTTTTTACAGGTTGGTCCCATGGACTTTTATTTTATTTTTCGATAAGTTCCGAGTGCCTGACAACTGTGAGGGGGGTGAATTTTTTTCTAACTCGTTAGTTTAGATAGTATTTAGATATAAAATGTATGACAAATAAGGCCGTGGTTAACTTTGATTGACAGCTTGATTGACAGCTGATAATGGGCTGCGCCGAGTGGAATTCCTGAAATTTGACGTCTCTGCCATGATCTGACACAACACATCATACCATCTCTGTATTCTTTCTGCACTTTTTTATTGAAATATCGTACATAAAATGAGTTGCTCGGCTATAAACTGCACTAACCGACACTGTAGGAGTACTTCGCTCCATTTTTCCCGGTAAGTGACATTCCACTATTATTTCACTTAGTTAGCACTATTTAGCATCAATGTTTGTGGGCAGTGGCACTGCAACAGTTAGCATTAAATCGCCTCAGATAAGTTAGCGTCCGAGGTACTTTACCTATGGTTATAACTGACGTGTGAAACACTGTAAATGCATCTGCCAAATTAATAAATGTAACATAAGAATAGACTGATATATCCCACATTGGAGTGTTAATATATTTTGATGGTTTGTACTCTTCAGCAGCTTTGCAGTGAATGTAGTAGCCATAGACTGTAAAAAGTAGCCTAGTCTGCCAGTCGATCTTGTAACGTTACAGATAGCCTAGGCTGTTTGGCTGAAAAGCCGCATCCACCGGCCGGCTCAGTCTCACACAAAGCCCGCCCTTTTACCCATATATGGATTGGCTAGAAGGTGGGCGGGGTTAGGAT